ATGGGAATAGAGATGTTTATGCTTTTACCCAATTTCTGCCCAATTTTAGAGACAGAAGCCTGATCTAATCACTATTAGTTATTGGTATCCTTACTTTGTTTTTTCCTCCTTTAAACTTTAGATTTTGGTCCTAAAAACAGATTCTCAGGACCTTGTTGCTTCCTTCAGAGTAACAACTGGAACAAGCAATACCACGGCCATTAAGTCAATTGAGTTTGCCCGGAAGGGGAGGTGAGTGAGACCTTAGGGACAGTTTTAAAAGCGAGTAGAATGCAAAGATACATTGAGAATTGCAGTTTTTGTGTACATTGTGCCTAAACTTAAAAAAATAATAGTTTACTTAAAGTTGTTAGAAATTCTCCATATTTGGCTCTTCAGTTCATAAAATTGCTTGCATTGGACGAGTAGTCACATCTTTCTTATCTGGAGGTTATCAGATAATTAGTTCCTTTACAGACGAGATATCTGAGTGGTCAGTGCTTAGAACCCAAAAGCCTGGCACGTAGTAAGCAGTGGTTAAAGTTTAGCTGTTATTATTTTTCATTTATTGAAACATTATTGATTGTACATATCCATGAGGTACAGTGTTGAATATCAATACCTGTGTGCAATATGTGATGCTCAAAGCAGAATAATTAGTATATTCAACATTACACAATGCAGTCATTTTTTTGTGTCGCTTTACCAATTTCTCACTAACACCCCCTTCCCCTCTCCTTTCCCACCTCTTGTGGCCTCAGTTCTGAGATTGGCTATTGTTATAATCAGAACTGATGTCATAAAATTCACATTGTAACTGAACATGCGTTTACATAAAACCTATTTACCCGTTTAATTTTAGATGTTATTCTGATAAGTTTGGTTACTCAGAAGTATCAACAGAAACAAGAAGAAATAGGTTGTCAGTAAGCTACCTTATTTAACAGTCATCCTATTTTGTTTAGGAAAACCCATACATACTCAGAGGACATTCATATTCACAGTTCTGTTGAATTAAGAAAAGATTACAGTCAGTGAAGTCTGTAGGAAGTCTGATGAAATAAGTTATATTTTAGACAGGTTTCAAAGATTTCCAATGTCATTATAGTAAAACATTGGACATTTAAAAATTAATAGTTTATTAACTCATTAAGAAGAATATATTGTGTATAAAACAGGCCAGAGAAGTGAAATATTTATATACATTTATTCTTTTTTTTTTTACTGTTTTTAAAATATTTATATACATTTAACTGTAAGTTTGTGAAGGTAGCAAGCTGGTTTCAGTTTAGAGGTCTTGGATCTCAGTTAAAGACTGACAGTTTGTACATTTTGGGTTCAGGGATACACAAGAAGTATAAAATATACTTGTATTCTCACTTCAAATTATATTTTGATTTGGAAGGTGACAAATAGATATAAGTATTCTAGTCTATTACTTAGATTTTTATTCAGCTTCTCCCCACTTTATTCGTTGTTTTGTGGTACTGTTTGAAGTAACTGATAGTAATAGAAAGTGTTAACAGGAACAGATTTCTAACCTCTTGTGTTGATATTTTTATCCTTTCCATAGTTGTTTTTTAATTAACACAGCAGATCGAATAATCAGAGTTTATGATGGCAGAGAAATCTTAACCTGTGGAAGAGATGGAGAGCCTGAACCCATGCAGAAGTTGCAGGACTTGGTGAATAGGTATGTATCACAACCTAGAAGCATATGTGGCAATCCGTGACCTGGGCTCAGATTCCACTTCTCCTTGGGTGCTTTCTTTGTCCTTTAGGACCCCATGGAAGAAATGTTGTTTCTCTGGGGATGGGGAATACATAGTGGCAGGGTCTGCCCGGCAGCATGCCCTGTACATCTGGGAGAAGAGCATTGGCAACCTGGTAAAGATTCTTCATGGGACGAGAGGAGAACTCCTCTTGGATGTAGCTGTGAGTAGAGTGGGTTGTTGCTGTTTTTACTCACGTAATCCAGAAAATCTTGACTCTGTTCTTACAGCCTGTTTTTCTTCATTAAAATTTAGTGGCATCCTGTTCGACCCATCATAGCATCCATTTCTAGTGGAGTGGTATCTATCTGGGCACAAAATCAAGTAGTAAGTATTTTTGGTTTACTTGCTTGAAACTAGAATACTCCTTTTTATGAAAGAGCCTTAGTCATAGTAAGCTAAAAATTACCTTACTTACTTTCTTTTGCATGTAATTCTTTCTACCTAATTAAATAGGCTTAGTGCATTTAGTTTCACTTTATTTTGATGGGAAGGTCTTGGTCCCAAGCTGGTTTACCAGCTCTGTTTTTAGGGAGAAAGTCTAGTGTACTTTTGGTTACATTCTTCTATTAACTAATTTGAGATATATTTTTCTTCTGCTTTTTAAATTTTTAGCTCAGTTTCTGTTTTTCATGTTGGTTTTACTTTGAACACCTTTAAACTATATTTGTAATTAGGGTACTCATAAGAAAATTTAATACTTTATCTCAAAATTACACTTCAGAAAGAGTAAAGAAGGCAGTTATTTATGAAAGAGCTACAGTTAATAACTTGAAATGGTTAAGATAGGAAATATTTTAATATAGTAAAACCTATAGATAACTAATTTTTATTCTTATCTGTCGAATTTAATCTCAGAATTCCGAGTCTCTTTCATGTTCATATCTTTCATTTATATAATTAATATCTAGATTACAGATTATTACTTTCTCATATGGTTAAGTAGTATATTTTGTTTGTGGCATAGGAAAATTGGAGTGCATTTGCACCAGATTTCAAAGAGTTGGATGAAAATGTAGAATATGAGGAAAGGGAATCAGAATTTGATATTGAAGATGAAGATAAGAGTGAGCCTGAGCAAACAGGTAATATTTCTCAATTGCAGGTAGTATTTCCTAAAGAAAAAATAATTACTTAATATTCTTAACTTGTTTTGTAAATTTATTTAAATGTCATTTTTTTCTTTAAGCTTACACAGTTTTCAGTGTTGGAGAGTCTTAATTTATAAGGCATTAAAGAGCTTATAAGAGCATTACCAGGACTCAGGCAGCACTCTTGACATTTAACTTTGTGTTTCCTGATTAATTGCAGGTGATTAAGTGAGGCTTTTTACCTGCAGCACCTAGCAAAGCAGCCACCCATGCTTGTATGGGTGTTCAGCTTGTATCATGTGTTGTGTCATTTCTTTGTCAGGAAGAGAAGGGCAAAGAGCACAGACTTTTGCTTCGGACTGCCTTGGGCAAAATATTTATTCTTAATACTTAAACCTGAATTTCCTCATTTGTAAAGTAGGGGTAATAATAGTACAAGCCTTTTAGGGTTGTGGGGAATAAATGAAATAATTCATGTAAAGCACTTAGTATAATAATAAGTACTCAGATGTTATTTTCTGTTATGATTATGACTGTGATCATTATTTTTATCTCTTCTGAACTTCTGGATAGGAGCTTCTTGAGAATAAAGATTTGACTATTTTTCCCCATGGTGTCTAACACAGGGTTTTACACGTAGTAGGGGTTCGTGTGTGTGAATGCTTAGGATGCTCGGTTGGCACTGTCAGTGAGCAATTAATGCCACAGATCATTGACTCCTGGGCTACTTGATGGTGCCAGGCATTAAGGAATCAGGACTGAGGTTAGTTCTCTCCAGCTTGAAAATGCTGGTTCTCACTTTTGTGTTATTAGATGACTTGCATGCCTCATGTGTTTTAGGAAAGGCTTCCAGGGATGCAGAATGTTCTGAATCATATAGGCATTGTTGGATTATGTTCTGTGAAGCCTTCCAAGGCTTCCACATAAATTGTTCCTCCTTGTCATCTCTTAAGCACGTTGCACTTACTGTATTAAATTGAAATTATCTGTGTGTATCTGTCTCCCAATTAGACTGTGAAGCTTTTACTGAAGAACCATTCCCTACTTTCTTGGTCATTGCTCTATTCTCAGTGCCTAGTATATGGTGGAAATTCAGCACATATTTGTTAAACAATTAAGTAAAATGAACTGTTTGGTTTTTCTCGTTTGTTTCTCCTGAATTTCACTTTATGAAAGTCATTAAGCTGTAAGTAAAAAGTGGTTTTCCATTTCTTCTCAACTGTCTCCCGTGTTTCTGTCCTGCAGGAGCTGATGCTGCAGAAGATGAGGAAGTGGATGTCACTAGCGTGGACCCCATTGCTGCCTTCTGTAGCAGGTGAGCCAGCACAGAAGACTGGGCATCTAGGACGCTGGTCCTCCTTAGCCCATGCTGGGGCACTTCTCGGTTCCCCTGGCTATCCCTTCAGTCCCATCTGCTTGTAAGCTAAAAGAGATAACTCCTTTGGTGTACAAGAAACAAAATGTAGTCTTTCTCTAGTCCTACTTTCCCTTCCTTCTCCCTGACAGAGAATTTTAAGGAACTGAAATAATTCATTTATTCTGTTTATTTTTACTACTGATTTTATTAATCATGTTGTCTGATTTCCTTTTATTCATCTTGGCTTTCTTGAAGTTCCAGATCCATACCTGTTGCTTATGCTTACTATAAGTGATAGAGGAAGGGCTCGTGGTTTAAGCAACTATCTCCTCTTTTTTCCAATCCCTGTCTGATCCTGTTCCAAATAGTGATGAAGAGCTGGAAGATTCAAAGGCTCTATTGTATTTACCCATTGCCCCTGAGGTAGAAGACCCAGAAGAAAATCCTTATGGCCCCCCGCCGGATGCAGTCCAAACCTCCTTGATGGACGAAGGGGCTAGTTCAGAGAAGAAGAGGCAGTCTTCAGCAGATGGGTCCCAGCCACCTAAGAAGAAACCCAAAACAACCAATATAGAACTTCAAGGAGTACCAAATGATGGTAAGAGCTGCATCTTCTCCCTGTTGCCTGACAGATGCCACTTTATACTCTTCAGCACAATCCGGTAATTTCCTGTTTGAATTATTGTACCTTAAAGGAATTTTTCCATGAGTTTTTTTTTTTTTTTTTTTCCTTT